CATTAACTAGATATTATTCCTTTTTAAGACCCGTTTCCGAATTTTTAAGCGAAATATGCATGATTTAATCATGGTAAGACATGTACAAAAGTACATTTTCAAATTTCCAGAATTACGAAAACTGAGCTTAAAAGTTTTGAAGTATAATTGTCGTAATGTAATTATATACTTACCGAACTCAAAAAGTTTTTGTAATTATATTACTGACAATCATATTATATAAGAAATTACGAGTTTGTGTGACAATCTGAAGATATTTCCATTTTTATAATAATTTATTTATTTATTCATAATAACGGTTCAAATCTTAAAGTCTAGTTAGCTGCACACCCAGCGAAAAATTGCATTAACTTAAAATTTTTATTTTCGTTACTAATTAAACTTTTTTTCCATAGTTATTTGCAGGAATGTGTACTGTATACAACACACGTCAATACATTATCGATATTCAAATTTGAAACCAAGAGTGATAAACTGTTAACTCATCAATTATTATCCAGAATCAAGGCTATAGATAATACATCCTCTTATTTATAGCCGTATCCACAATAGATATACATAAATTATACATCATTGTAAGTTTAATATTTATTGATTTATCTACTATAATTTTATCTTTGCCTGATCCCATTTAAATTCCTTTATTTCTAAACCATATGAACTAGATAAATATATTTAACGACATAACATTGGTATAAAAAATGTTATACTTGACAAAAAAGAGAGAGGTACATTAATAATTTTATTCGATAAAGATTGAATATATGACACCTGATATTAACAATATTCCCATGAAAAATATCGCCTGGTTCTTCTTAAGTGTGTATACGATGAACGTATAAGTGAATTTTTCTCGTCACCGATTCAACTAGGATTGATCGAGAGATTAATATCGAAATATCGAAAAATCTAAAACTAAAAAAAAAAAAAAAAAAGAATAAATAAAAAATTGTATAGGAGCAGGAAATGTATTGTTCGTTTCACTCCGTTGACCCGTCGGGGGTACAATAATGTTTATGAGGTTGACGATCTCGGTGTCCGTAATGTTCACAGCATTCGTATTGCAATATCCGTCCATATACATACTTTCCGAAGTTCTGAACTAAGAGGGAGAGGGTAACAAGATTATATGTTGCGCATCACTGTCATAAATATTCACTACGCCATTTACATAGATACGTAGGTGCACACGATGAAACAGTTTCGTTAGGCAAAACAGCTTTTTCGATTTCATTTGACCGATCGAAAATGTTATAAATTTCGATTATCACATGAAGGGAAAAGTATATTAGTGAGTGAGCCTGCAGAGTTGAGATGTGAATTGTTGAAAATGTTGAATAAAGTTTTTATGTGGTCTTGGATTTTTTTGAATTTACAAGTCTTTGTGCAAATAATCGTTTCTTATGGACCACGGAGCGTCTGTTATTATTGGAATATACCGACGCTATCGTTAAACACCCATTTTACCATTTTACCACATTTTGATGTAATGATAAAAACTATACATAAGGGGGTTTTAGGGGTTCACCCCCCTCCCTGACGTTTAGGAAAATTATTAAACATCATATGTTTTTATAGAGTAAAAGTTTTTTATAGATTATATAACTATGAAAATGAACACCTTTAATCCCTCCATAAAATATGTTTTTGTTTACGTATCTTGATATACATATTTTACGTACCATATATGAATATACGATTGCGGCGGTTACGTTACATTAACCTAACTCAGTGGCGAGCAAAACCATTTCATATTTTGGCGGAAAATTAACTTTCTAAGACTATCTACTGCAAATAATATTGGTTTATCATACGGTGAACTCCCTGTTACAAGCTATCAACCTATCTACGGGTTTGTAAATATTACAAATTATTACTTGTAGATTTATTATTATTATTTTTTTTTTATTTGCTTACGTAAAAATAAATAAAAGATTTAATAGGTATATATTCATAATTATTAATTCTTTATAAATGTATTGGACTTCATGAACTTCAAATGATAGATATTAATAAAATATAATTATAAAATTACGAACATTTAGTAATGATTACGTCTTCTGCATTTAGTACTGTGTATTTAACTCCAATATAATAAAATTGTATAGTATATTATTATAAAAAGTACTGTAAGTGATCACTATTAAATTTTTAGTTTAAATAGTTGAAATGACAATAATTTAACGATTCATTATTTAATACTTAAATACATCTGCATAAGTTTACAAATCTATAGCTAGTTATTATATATTATTGTAAACCATACGAATTCGTTATACTATAATTATTAAATATCTGATTGTTTCCATGTACTATAACATAATACATGGGCGTAAGTGGGTGCGTATGTATACTTTAAGTTATGAAAAATGAAAGTAATAATAATGCTCTGTTAAGATTGACAGTGAATTATTACAGGACATATTTCAGTTGCTCGTTTCACTCCGGATCATCCATTCGTTTGCAAAGCAATTTGGAAGGCGAAACAAAAACATTAGGAAGAACGTCGTAAAAACGAGTATTTTTTACAAGTAATCAGAGGTAAAAAATACCTATTCTTTTTTTTTTTCGATTCAATAATTATAAAATCTTAAGTATATCCAGTATGAGTTTGATATGTGCGTTGAAGTGGTGTACCATCATTTCGTCGCGCGACAATTTGATGCAGTAATTTGGACGCATGACAATTGGTCGTAATATCAACACATGCTACATTTGGTCGCGCGTCATTTCGTCGCATAAATATATATTTTGAGGGTTCTGTCACTGGACAGCTTCCTTCTTCATACTATTATCATGTAGATATTCTCCTTAACTATCTTATTTGCTTATTGGGCATATGTTAAACATTGTAAATTTTTAATATTTAAAGATTTCAGATTGAAAATAACATAATTCTGTCTTCATATATGTTACTATCACCACTGTCAAACAAAAATAAATTTTCATTGTTTCAAGTTTTTATATGATATTAAAAATGGAAAAAAATATATATGTACGATGAAATGTTATTTGAGACCATTTGTCGTGCGTCCAAATGACTACGACAAAATGGCGTATATTCATGTTGGAGTTAGAGATATGGATCTTTGTATTGATTATCGACCCATATTTTAAAACGGAACTAAAAATTACGATTAACATGGAAGTTTTAAATCATTAATTTTTTATTATTATTTTAAGTTTTAAATCATAAATCAGTTTTCTTGTATAGTTTAAGGTTTATCGAAAATCCAACTAAATCTATAAAATGATACGGATAAAGTCATAGAATTTGAGATATATATAAGTCATTTACATTGGTGTAGATCATTTTTCTTATATGCGGATAACTTGTTTCTCGAAAATCTGGAACTCCTCGAAGTGACATTTTTTTTGTCGGAATTTCGCGATTATAATTAATATAAAATAATTGAATAAATTTAATGATTTCGTAAGAAAATTTCTGAAAACAGTAACTGATAGTATACCATCGCGTGTAAATAACAAAAAAAAAAAATAGAAAGGTCTTCAAACCCTATACAGTTTTAATCGTTTCATACTGCAATTGGTAAAATACGATATATTTAAGTACAAAAATAATAATAAATAAATATAACAATGGAATTTATAAAGCACATGGACCATATATAACCATTTCCAACTAGCTTTAAATGTAATTGTATATTTTTCAAATACATTTTTTATTTTTATTTTGTTTTTATCCGAGATATTATAGCATTCTTACATACATGGCGTAAGAAATAAAGGAAGATTTAGTTACCCTGCATCCTCTCACAGACATTATCCTGTGGAAAAACGTTCCGATTCAGAGTTATTTAGTTATTTCGGTCTGAATTGTATTTTCGTTATGAGGATTTCAATATTTCCAATAAAGAAGTCAAATAGCCCCGATAAACTAATATTTGGTTAGTACATTGCGCCGAAGTCGTTAAATTTGTCGTTCCGTTGCCGAACAAATATCATGTCGCTGTTTGTTCTATGAATTTACGATTAGATATAGTTTATGATTATTGTTTGTTTTCCATGCATTATATTACAATATTGTTTATTGATTGCAGACGAAGATGAAGGTACTTTGAAATCTGACCTGCACGTGCAATATAATTCGTTTGTTATATAATATTGTTTTTCGATCTCGATTGCATCAAGAGTGACAAAATTTTGAATGATAAATGTAATCATTTTGAATGTATTCTTATAACTGAAGATTTCATCGATTCATGATACAAAATTTTTTCTCTTAAAAAAAAATAAATAATTAATAAGATATTATCAGTTCTAATCTGTTGCTTGTGTCGATGTCACGTGTGTTTCTGTTCGAATATCTGAATTAGGTGCCGATTTCATTATTTATAATCATTAATTTTATTTATAATAGTTGTAACCAAGTGATATCGCCGAGTAAAACTATTATATGCTGTGAATGCAGATCCAATTTTCACCCATCGTGCACACAAATTGGTAATATTGCAAACTTTAATAAATTAGGCAGAAATAAAGATTTATGGAAGTGTAAACCTTGTTCAAATAAACAAAATTTCACTATCCGTAAGGTGAATAAAGATTTAAGCAATGAATCTGAACGATCAGAAAAGGACAGTATAACTGATCTATGTGATATCAAATCTTCTATTAAATCGATTTTATTTAAATTAAAACAGTTGGATATATTGAATAAATCATTTAATAAAGTAAAGGAATCGATAACTTTCTGCTCAAATAAAATTGACGATTTTTCAATCAAATTAGATAATCTTGTGTCCAAAATTAACGAAAACAGTAAGAAAATAACCGAAGTCGAATATAAATGTAATAAAATACAAGAAGAAATTAATTCATTAAAAAGAACTCAAAATATTAGCGAACAGGTGAAATTAATGAATAACCTTGATATTTCGGGCATTCCTAACACAACAAATGAATCTTTATTTGATATACTTGCAAAATTGTCAAGCTTAGTAAATATCAACTTAAAAGAAGAAGATGTGAGTAAATTATATCGCAGTAAAATGCGTAATGATTTAAAAAGCAACATAATTGTTATTTTTAACAATAACAAAAAAGAAGAATTAATTAAAGCTTTCAAAACCCAGTGTAAAATCAAACCTATAATTGCAACTGATTTATACTCAAACTTTGATCCAACACGTATATATTTAAATGATCAACTGTCGATGGAGAATAAGAAAATATTATGGGCTACAAAACAAGTGGCAAGTAAATATTGTTACAAATATGTTTGGTCGAACAGCATTGGAGTTTTTTTGAAGAAGAAAGAAGGTGATACGGGTACACGTGTGAGTACATTATCGCAACTAATGACGATAGATACAAATAAAATGATTGAATGTTTGTGGAAATAGTACCTGTTTCACGTTCATTGTCTTATCTTTATAAGTTGCCTTTGATTGGAAATACTATTACACGATAACTTGTTTATAATTAATTTTTGTAGTTTTTCTTATTATTATTCATGTCTTTCCAACCAAATATTCTTAAAGAAATTAATTCTAGTAACAATGTCGCTAATAAAATGATTGATAATTTAACTGATATTGTTTTTAATTCTAATGACTTATCAATTTTTCATTGTAATATTCGTAGTATTAATTTGCACTTTAATGAAATCTTGGTTTATCTGAAAACTATTACACAACCATTTGAAATTATTATTTTAACTGAGACATGGTTAAGTGAATATTTAAATTTTGATATTAATGGATATATAACATATAATTTCTTAGGCTTGTTAAAAAAAGCTGATGGTGTTACTATTTTTATTAGAAATAATGTAAATATCACGGATCTTAATACTAATATTATAAGAGATTGGAATTCTATTGAAATTAATTTTAAATTCAACGAACTTAATTATAAAATTATAGGAATTTATAGATCACCAAGTTTAGCTATTAATAATTTTTTAATGGGCATTGATGCCTATTTGTCAAATATTTCTAATACATATAAAGTAATTATTATCTGTGGTGATATGAATAATAATATCCCTAAAAAATCAAGTAATGTCTCTAATTATTTAAATATTCAGGTAACATATAATTTTATTTCATGTATTGACTCTTTACTAGGGTTACTGATACTTCATCGTCTTATATTGATCATATTTTTATTAGAAATATTGATATATCTAAGCAAATTCTTTTTTTATTAAAACGGATATTACGGATCATTTTAGTTTTGCATTCTTTATAAATAATGACTATATTGAAAATCCAAAGGATAATTTAAAAAACAATAAGTTTAATAGCAAAAAAAATATTAATTTCAATGTATTAAATACTTTAATTTTTTCATTTGATTGCCAGAGTTTATTTATTGCTAATGATGTAGACATATTGGTAGAGAAATTTAAATATAAAATAACTTAATTAATTATAAGTGTTGCTAAAGTTACTACTACATCAAAAAGTAAATTAAAAAAAACCAATAAAATTAAAATATGGATAACTAATGGTCTTATAAAAATTAAAAATAGACAAAAACTTTATAAAAAAAAAAATTAAATCACCTTTTGATTTAAATCTTAAACAATATTATATCAAATATAGACATTTTTTGAACGTATTAATTAAAAAAACTCATTGTTTATATTATATTGTTCTAATACTTTTATCTAAAAACAATATGAAAAACACATGGAAATTAATAAATGAATTCTCATATAGTTCTAAGAAAAAAGAACCTCGAATAAATTGCCTGGACAGTAACGTTTCGAATATTCTTTTAACTATCATAACAAATCTAATATATTGAATGAATTTAATAATTAATATATTAATGTTGGAAAAAATATTTTCGATGAGATAAATAATAGTAATTATAATAAATTAAATAAAAATTGCCATATAAATAATTCTATTTATCTTGATCTAATATACCCTTTTGAAATTTCAAATTTTGTTCGGAAAATTCCAGAAAATTCTTATTTTATAAATGATTTATCTAATTTTATTCTTAAAAAAACGGCTGATTCAATTTCAATCCCATTATCTATCATTTTTAATTTTTCAATGGTCTTTGGCAAATATCCTCCTACAAATAAAGATAATATTATTCTGCCTCTTTTTAAATCAGGTGACAAAAAACTATGTAGTAACTACAGACCCTTGCATTAACTTTAACTATATCTAAATTTTTTGAAAAAGGTATTAAAAAAAGACTTATTAATTTTCTTAATGAACATTCATTTTTTTTCGCCAAATCAATATGGTTTTCGTCCAAATATGTCAACCGTGGATCCATTAGTTAAAATTTCCCACATTATTCATGATAATTTGGATAAAAAATTCAAAGTTTTGAGTATTTTTCTTGATTTTAAAAAAGCGTTTGACGGTGTGAATCATGAGTTATTAATAAACAAACTTGATTTTTGTGGTAAAAGAGGTAATGCTCTAAACGTATTTAAATCTTTTATTTCAAATAGATCCCAACAAGTTATGATTGAAAGAACACCGAGTGATATAAATACCAATAGTTTTTCGGTGCCATAAGGTACTGTTCTTGGCCCAATATTATTTATCATTTTTATTAATGGACTTTTAAACTGAAACCTAAATGCTGATATTTTGTGCTATGCTGATGAAATAGTGGATATATATATATTCATCCGCATTTAAGCTTATTTGCTTGTAGGATGAGTTGCAATTATTTTAAATATTTATTGTATATTTGACTTGTTAAATTGATATTGTTGCAATAAACTTTATTATTATTATTATTATTTATTATATTTTTCCTAAATTAACTGTAGAAAAAAAGCTAGATGAAATTTACAAATTTGTAACTTGATTGAATGCGTAATTCATTTAAAATATAGAAAATTAATAAAAATAAATAAAATTTTTTCTTATCTAGAAATTGTCTGAATTCTTACCAAGATTAGAGTTATTTTTATTCTTGTACGGAGACGAATCCAATAAGTCAGAGTTCGTCAAAATCGGTCAGCCGTTCTTGAATTATATATTCTGTAACTAACCAGACTTTTTTTTATATATATAGATTTTGTATTCATAATTATAATTCGTGTATTATTAATAAGTAATTATTATTTCTTGGTATGATATTTTGTTTGTATTTTCATGTCGGGAAAATATTTTTGGTATTTTTAAACTTAATTTCTTACTTTTCCATGGAAGTATATATATCCAAATATAGTAGGTATTTGATTTTAGTTTACGGCTACACACGTAACTCATACGTTAAATAGTAAAACTTCACTCTTGGAACCCGTAAAATCGTAACTACTTATAGAATAATGAAAATCAATAAATTAAGATTATATGGAAAACAATATTATTAACTTAAAATAATCTCTTTTGTATTCTGTATTCTCCTGATACTTACTAAACAATTTTCATTGTTTTTTTTTTTTTTTTTTTTGTGTCACCTTTTTAATGATTAACTATCATTAAATATTGTACATTATATATAAATACTGCTTAAAAGTACACTACATTACTATAATAAACATTAAACACTTAGGTACCTATTGATAATAATGATTACAATTGAGTCTTCATAGATATTATTATAAATATGAAATATTGGCCAAAAAATAACATTTTTTGAAAATATCTTTTTTTTATCTAGATAAAAATGAAATTATCTTTTATCTTTATCTAGATAAATTTTGCATTATCTATTCCCAACACTGGCCACAAGTATGAGTGGATAGAATTATTGTTATACAAATGTTGACTGTTAAAAAAAGCCACCCAGCAGTGACACTTTTTAACTTGATTAATTAATATTGTAAGTTAATTTTTATTTATGAGGTTTTTAAACGGTTTTAAAGTTGATTTACTAAAATATCTATGATTTTAATAGGATAAAAATGCATAGTAATCTTTTAAAAGATCCAAAATGGATATAAGACAGGATATAAGAAGAATATCGATTAAGCCTGAGTTCCTGTCAATTATTATTGTGTTTATCCTCACATGTAAATTTCTTATAATATATATGCATTTACTTTTGTATACTTTTATAGGGATCAAAATATCTTTATTTATATTTTATATTTTATTCAATACCCAGGATTTGCTAGTGAAGAAACCACTCGCAGTGACCATACTTGCGTTGCAGATATTATTAATTTTATTAGAGTACAGGAGCACCAGTGAAATATAATCATGGGCGCAATTTAGGGAAGGGCTTGCGTGTGCTTAACACTCCAATTTTCGAAATTAGACATTATCCTATGCCCACATTAGGCGGAATCCACTGTATTTCAATTGCTTATAAATTATAAATATAATATAAATTATAATTATAAATATTTATATACAATTGAAAACTAAAATATAGGAACTTATTCAATTGCACTTGAATATTATATGCATTTTCTGCCACTTAAAAATAAAATTACACCCATTTTAGTTATTATATCATATAGTTTTGTAAATTCATCATCATATCAGTTTTTCTTAATCTTAAATATGCTACCTACATTATCAATTATGCATTTTATCATGTATGCGACGATATAAATAAGAAATCAATAAATAGAAATATATAATAATATAATAATATTATATATTGCAAGAAAAAATATAAATATTATGTAAACAAAATGTAAAATGTTATTAAAGTAATGAAATAAATATAGAAAACATTTTTAAGAAATTAAACATTTATATAATATTTTAAGTCATCTTCAATATCGTTGATTATGTATTTCATGTTCGGTGAGCTAGAAGTAACTTCATCATCTTGATGTATTTTATTGAATCTATAAAATATTAAAACAGATAAATTTTATTTTATAATAAGAATTCAAAAATATTAATATTTATAAACATATTATAATAGGGGATAACTGTTGAATAATATCTTGTAAATATTAAGATCAAATTATATATATTGTATGTTGGAATTTAAAATGGGAAACAAAATCGGAGAAAAATAAATTCGTTTACTACTTCTAAATTAATTATTTAATTATTAATTATCTTATTAATTAGTTTTACATGATAAAATTAATTTCTATCGTGAATAAATATTTCGAAACTATAAGTCAAAATGTCGATCGAAAATATCGATCGACATTCTCTGTATATAAGATAAGTGTATACCTATGTTATATGTATAATATTGTTAATAGTGCCTATATGTAATTATTACATTGCTCCATTGTCTGTTTCTTCTACGAAATCATATAGTAAATTATAACAGTTATTTTGAATGAATTAAGTCATTAGTTGAACGGTAAGTGTTTTTGTCTATATTTAAAACGAGATCCCTTCATAATCGACTAATCTGGATCTGAAACTAAAACCGACGAAATTAATTCATCCTAATCCAACCTGCTGTTGTCGTAAACTCCGATTTTTACCACCCTAATTTTCTGTTCAACGAATTCACAAACATCAATACTACACAAATTATATTAATATTTAAACCGATGGCTCAGTTTCATCGATTTCAGTTGTTTCATCGTTTTATACCTCGATACCCCAGTCAACTCACATTGATATTGAATAATAATAAAAGTCTGATCAATATTTGAAACTCAGTTTAGAATAATATTATATAGTTACCTTCATGAATCTATTTGTCGAAATACATGTCATATCGTGTATTTTAATTGTATTAACGTTGTTGATTAACTTTCTCTAAACGAATCACGTTCTAATATTAATAGATGCGCAAAAGCTTTGACCGAGCTATATTAAACTAGAAATACATCTAGAAATAATAAATCACGTTATTAGGAGAAATATGAAAATTTTTAATTAATAGTATTTAAAATGTTACTTATGATAATTTCGAACCAGTCATTTGTAATATTTTACACAAACAGTGAACTTGTAGATCTCCATTTTATTTTAACACATCCGTTATCAACCTAACCATGTTTCTAATCTCTCAATGGATATAGAATAAATACAAAGTTCTAATTCAAAATATATTATATGGTATGTGTATCTGAAATAAAATATAATTTATTTATTAGTTGGATTTAACAATAATGATGTTATTGTGGTATCTAATTGTTACTCGGTACGGGTGTTCGTTGAAAATGTAATATTTATATTCAATAAACGGCTCACTGGCAAAATTAAAACAGAATAATCCTAAAAATATTCATACTTCACTTATTGAAACTGTTCTATTTTAAGAGACAGAGGGGTTGATAGAATTATCCCTTTAGAACTCAGAGCTAAATAAAATAAGACACAAAATGAAGTACTTAGAGGTATCCGTTATTTTTTTAAAAATAATTAGTTTTCTATTATTACATCTATAATAATATTTTTATTTTTTAGTAAATTATTTTAAGTCATTATTTTGATTACAAGCTTGGTCTCATACCGGGTACATATAAAACTACCGAACGATGCTCTTACAAAAATTTTTCATTGTATATTTCATGTAGAAATATAAAAATGTTAAACGATTATCTATTTAATATAATACTTTTATGTCTTTAGAACGTTTTTTTCATGAAATTAAGACTGCTTATAAATGATTCATGAAAATTCAAAATGTTCCTTATCTGAAATATGTCCTTATAATTTATAAATACTATTTACTATCAGATATCAATTGTATTATATTCTTCCGATTGTGTTGAGGAATCGTATATCATTTGAGATTTTGGCTCTTCAGGAATTCTTCAATGTTTTTGAGGTAATCGTCGTATGCAAAAAGATTATTACCTCTTATCCAATGCACACGACGATTAACAGATACCCCTATGGAAATTAAAAATAACGTCATCATTGGTATCATGATCTTTCAAAAAACACTACATTATCTATATACATCGTACACTTTTTACAACTTACCATCCGAAAACAAAAGCACTTTCTTTTGTATCCTATTTACGTTTCTATTATAATTATTCGTATTCATCTAAAACAGATTATTATCATACAAAATTAACTTGCAAGTGTGAATTGGTCAATGGACCGATGATTATAGTTATACCTAATTATTGTAAACGTTTAATGATATAAAAAAATACGTACTCCGGGACCTAGGAAAGCCAAAATTGAATTTGGCTCCCTGTCAATACATATTTGTTCTGTATTAATTTTATTAAATATTTTATTCTCTAGTTGGTACAGCTGTAAAAAAAAAAAAACATTATATGGGTATTGATGCTCTCATAACATGATCTGTGGACTTACATCTGACAGTTCATGGTCCTTCGTTAACCTCATTATGACTTTCGGTGCCACCCTACTTGCCAATTTGATTAACTTCACCATTTCCTCTTTAGTCATGTTCACTGGTGGTGACGTGACGATGCCGTCTGTCCTCTGCAGCGAGTGGGCATCGACAAAGAAGTCACCTACCAGAAAGACGATTCGATCTTCGACCCCATACACATGAGCATTGTTCCGGGCGAACGCGATTTTGACCGGGTCACTGTCCATCGCAATGACTACATAAAAAAACGCGAACCGTTACGAGTCCAATGTTAGTAGACATTACGATTTAATAAACAATTAACATGTTAAATAATATGACAATAATTGTATTTTCATGTTGTCAGCAATATACCTTTGCGGCAGACCATGGCCAGTTGGATCGCGATCGCACCGGAACCGCAAAACGGGTTTATCACAGTACCCAGCGACTTACACCGGGAAGCCATCAGTTTTGCCAAAACTTCTGGAGGACCGGAGTAAAGGGTCGCTGTAGAAATCGTAAAATGATGAAAACACAAACGGAGTCGAACGATAACTTAAGACGTTCGTCTGTCAACATACCTGGGTCTGCCATGATGCCGTCATTGAATTTCGAAAATCGTGCAAACCGATTTTCCCACAGTTTATAAGTGACGTTCAATTCCTAGGAATAGTACGTCGTAATTAGTAAACATTGGAGAGTTCATGCAGATAATTATGTATATATTAGATAATATCCTGTTGATTAGTATCGTGTTGTATGTATCTGTTGTTTGTTGTTACCGGGACTGGGCAGTATCTTAGATACTAGTATTTAAGATACGTATCTGAGATCAAATTGTATATTGAATCTGGTATCGTGAATTTAAATACTTTTTAAACTTGTATATAGTATATTTTTATGATTAAAGACTAAATACAATCTATTGTTATGTAATTATAATTATTAATAATTTAGATTAAAGTTTTTCACGTCAAAGGCATTCACTTGATAAATGAACAATATATACAATATTTGTTCATAATAAAGATTATATTACATATGATCTTTAATATGAGCAAATTTTGTAATCAGTAAGTTATATAAATCCAGTTTATCGGCAGAATGTTTTCTTAATTTTATCGTGTTAAAAATTTATTTTAGACTGTGTGATTGTGCGATGATCGGTTCATATTTTCTGTCTACGCGGTATTTGTGTAGTGTCGTCCGATTTTAAGTACCTATTACTAAAAACAAGAATAATAATGTAATTGTTAATATTCCAGAATCCTTATATGGGACATTCTATATAATATTAAATTTTGATGAAGAAATAAATGTAAATTGAAAATTTAAATTATTTACTATTAATAATTATTAATATTTATTATCAATTATATGCATATATATAATAATTTATTATTATTAATTGAAATTAGTCTTTAAAAGAATAAAAGGTAACCAGGAATTTATTTTAAAACATGGGATATAATATATACATGTTTTTATTATAATACTACATATCATTTTTTTTAAATGTAATTATTTAATAGTTAATAAATAAAATTTGTAATTTATAAATATATTTATACTCTTTTTATTGTACCTAATGTAAATGCATAAACAAATAAATAAATATATATTAATAAATGAATAAATTATCTTGTATCTTATATGTATATCAACTACCTGTATCTCGTATCTAATATCTTAAAAAATATCGAAGTATCTTTTATCTTGTATTTAGATACTTATTTTTAGGTATCTTGCCCAGCCCTGGGTGTTACACTGTTAGCAATCGTTTTACTGTGATCGACTGATGCAAACAATCAGCAGCAAATTATTTTGCCGCCCTCAAGTTCACGAGTTATTGAAATGATAATGTTTTTTTTTCAAATCCACTCAAATATTCTTGTGTGCATTTGTGGGAAACAAATTTTGGTCCCGACAAATGAAAAGCGTAAATGTTGATGTTCTATAACTACACTGCGCACAAAATCGAGTCGTATCGCGTACGTGAAAAATATGCAGAATCCGGAAGGGCCACCGTTCGCGTTGAACATGACCGTAAATAATTAATGGTAATGTGGTTTTGCACTTACTTTGGCGCGATTTTCTTTCATTTTCGGTAGTACGTAAGGAACGATTTCGTCTTCATCATCACCAAACGTACTGACTTGTTCTGTCATCACGCGGACACTTGTCAGCGAGTCGACCGCATCGCACATCAGTGCAGAATGCGCCTGCTCGCTAGTTACTTCGATGACGTCGGACGCGACTTCACCGGCGGACGGTTAAGTCTGCGTGCACGTGTCAACGAACGTTGTGCAGGAGTCGCCGCACGCGAAGTCACGTTTGGCCACTCGTGTGCTGACAGTAGTGACGAAGTCCGTTTGTGAACCGCATTCCGCAAAGGATACGGGACTGGTAGCCGTTCGACCACCGACGTCATCGCGAACCAGAGGGCCGTCTCGGTCGTTCTTCCGGTCCCGTGCAGCAATCGTGATGCGCGAAACCCCGACGGGCTAATGTGGGAAAAGTACGAGCGAGATGATACGTTAAGAAAACCCTAACGGAAATCGAAAGGTGTCATACCGCAAATAAAACCTCAATCGTACGCACCTTGATCCTCTGTTAACCAGACAAGGAACCGTGGCCATCTACAGATTAAACAGAAGGTAATCAACTGCAATCGCTCGTCATTCCTGTCCGCCTCCTGAGTAGGACCACTACGGCGATCGGAACTGAAAAACACATAAATATCATGCATTTCAAGTGCGGATGCTCTATCGATCGAATGTCGGACGCGAACACTTCTCGACGGAGCAGAAACGTCGTTGTTACCCGTTCGCGGTGCATTATTGCCTGACGGTACTGTCGTGTAGATCCGTTTACCTGATAGTCAATCCCATTTTCTTGAGATGAATTGATATTGTTGATGGTTTTGATAAGTTTACACTAAATATACCTCTGCTGTTAAGCAAGGCAATGTCGAATGTTATCGTAATAATTTGTTCAACAGTTACAATAAAGTTGCAATATATTTGCCGGGTTATGTTTAAATTAGGTTACGTAATCCATATCGTAAATGGCCAGTGCAGAAAAAATACACAACTTGAAATCAAATTTATTAGTTAAATAATTATAAATAAAATGTTATTCTTTCTCCATGTAATACTAATGTATCTATAGAACCTCGTGATCGGAATCACTAAGGTATACTAGATGTATTTGTAAAACAGGATGCAAAAATAATAGATGTACTTGTAAAAAATTAATATTTTATGCAATTCCAATTGGCACGGTATAATAATACAATAAATTGTGAATATAAATAGTTATGTATAATTATTACGAACCTAATTTTAATATTTCGCTAAACAAAAATATCTAAATACATATCAATTTTTAAATATTAATAATATTGGGTAATTTCCTATTCATAGTTGTAAATGTGCCAACAAAATATTCGATTTTTACAACATTCTCTATGTTGTCAATTAATGCCTAGGCATTGATGATATCATCTATTATCGTTAAGCATTTAAAATATTAGTATTTTATATTATTGTATTCGAACACGGAATGGATCACCGTGTGATTTCCCGTGTCCACACACACATACACACTCATATACACATACACATATTTATATACATACACACAAGCCATGCATGCACGTGCATACACGTACACAGGTACTTATGTATTACATTTCACATACACTTATGCTCAGGACACCACTCGTACGAAATTGGAGTTGAGTACCTCTGCACTTAATAAAACTAATAGGTTCATAAATAAACGTCTGGACGTGGTGTTTGATGTTTTTGCGATCGTTTTATCGCGTAACCGTGTCTTTGTGCCACATTATAAATGTAGCATACATGTTTCAATGTACACGCGTACTCGGTGCAGGGCCGTATTTAGCGCAGGGCAAGGGGACATTGGCCAGGGACGCCATTCCAAGAGGGGCACAAATTTCAACACAACTTATGTAACATTTTTCACGAAATATTTGAAAAATGTATATTTATTTAACTATGTTTAATTATTTTGTTAAATAATATATACGATTTACCAAACGTAACAACATTTCAAAATTATAATAACTTAAGATTACAAAAATAGATATTCTAAGCCATATTGATCAGTACTCTTTACAAGATTTATATCCGAACTTAGAGGTGGTAATACGAATATTTTTAATGATTCCTGTCACAACAGGTACTTGTAAAAGAAGCTTCAGCAAGCTGAAAATTATAAAAAACTATCTTAGATAAACAACAGGTCAAAGTATCTCACCAGTATGGCTATATTATCAATAGAAAAATATGTAGTTGAAACAGTTTCATTTTATAATGTCATTAATAAATTTACTACGATCATTGGATATGCACTAAGGGGTTTTATTTTCTTACTAGATTACAAATATACGTGTTCACGGATACCGTAAGCATGTTAATGTAACAAAATAAAAAAATTTATGATTAATATACGTGAATTAATAAATGCTGAAACACGTGAACACGTATTGGAGTCATAATCACTCGAATACACATAATATTCTTATATGGGTTCAAATATCAGATTTAAAAAAAAAATATTGATACCGGTAAAACCGATATTGTCAATATTGGCCGATAATTATATAATCAATATGGGCTTGAATATCAGCACTAGTATTTATTTTCATTGCGGTGTCATTATGTTTTTTCCCTTTTTTAGCGGTTTATGCTCCATTACAAAATTGAATCATTTACAGACGATTTAGCTTTTTTGCATTTTGTCTGGATCTTATAAATTTCCAAATTTTAGGATGCATAGCGTTTAAAATATATGATAATCCAATATGCCATCCTTCTACTAAATTATTGGTTTTTTGAATGTTATACTCATCAACGTAGTAATTCAAAATTGAAATTGAAAATTTTGGATTTTTTTTTCCCGCTTCTATCCATTTTACCATCCCGCGTTTATTCAAAATAATCAAGTAATCGCGATAAATCATACTTCAACTGTGGGTAAAAAGGAGTGTCAATAAAACGTTCAAAATATTTAACAACAGAATCATATGCCAAGACGTTGAATTTCTTATTTCGAATGTAAAAGAGGGATATTCTTTGTATTGTTTTGATCGATCATATTCTTCATTGTGTCTTCAGACAGATTGCGGAATGTGAAAAGGAATGAGTGAGAATGTTGTCATATGTAACAAAACCCTAAAGGCATAAATACATGAATTCACAAATTCACGGGTATACGCGTCAATATAATAATTCACGGATACACGCTAATAATATTATAAATGCATGGAAAATGTTAAGCAACGGGTCTTAAAAATCTAACCTTAATTTTAAGTGAAATAAGGAGCACTAATATACATACAGAGAGATAATGAATGATAGAGAGAGAGAGAGAATGAACTAGAAATTACGTTGAAAACCACCAAAATTCAATGGGGTCATTCACTGTGCGAGGAGCACATAATTAACGAACGGGGTATATGTACGTCATAGTATATATGTACACAAAAAGATACATCATAAATACAAGCGTATCAAATGTTATTCATCGTACGCCGTGCTTTTCAAAAAACAAAAGAAAATATGCATACATCAACCAACGTTTGAATAGTGCACTAATATTATATTAAATTATCTTTTCTCGCCTGTACAGGTAAATACTAAAGGTAATGATCAACGAGAAATGAAAACATCACGTCTTGATCCGGGATCGTCGTTGTCGTACGAAATTTTTACCGTTATTGTGACGAGACGACATTATTAATTATTATAATCTCGTTATCGCGGCGATTGCTTGTCAGGTAAGCGTCGAAACACACGACGAGACGACTGAGAATCAAGAACTGTTATTATGCGAAATAATGTTTATACCATTGAAACGTGATTTATTCTTTGGCCGGAAAAAATTATTCGTTAGTAATTTGCACCAACTACCTGGTGGTGATTTGTATTCGTATGTAATATCATCTATCCACGGACGAAAAGTAACACCACCGCGCAATGATATTTTCAACTTCATCGCTAGATGGCAGATCACATTTTATTGCAGAACGTATGTATACATTCGTGCGTATTTCGAGCACTTGACGAGTATTTCATTATAACGCTACTTTGTTTTTACGTTTTATTCTTAATCAACAATTTACGTTTTATAAACTTCAGCGAAACTATTTGAAAATCACAATTTACTATATATTTTTTACGTTAATTTTATTACATTCGTTGTCTATCAGAATTATATTTTCGAAATATAATTCGTGGGTAGATGTAGTTTTATAATTACTAAGTCGAGTAGAACTTCTGAACAATATTAGTCTTGGCTGAAAGTTATTAATATTATTTTTGTTCTAGTTCGGTAATAATAAAGTTTATAATTATTAAAAACAACAAAATATTTTAAAAACTTAACATTTGTTTTAGTTATTTCCAAAAGGGTAAGAAGTCGACTTCCCCCTTTTTATAGATCCACCTCTGTTATTTATTATATGCGTGTCTTTAATAGTGTACGTTGTAATAACAATTTACGAAACATTTTATTGTACTTATTTGACGTAAGGCACAATATTATTCACGTTAGGGTTTGTTAAGCAAAGTTTTTTTTTTTTAAACATATAAATACGAATAAAAAAATCGTACCTTCAGTTTGAGGAGTTATTATCTTTAACGCGTTTGCAAGGATCGACGGAATATCAAAAAAAAAAAAAAAAACCGCAAAAACGAACACGTACTACGATATTATAATATACTATAAAATGAGGCGAAACTGTTAATATTGTTGGAAATAATATAATCGTAGCAGCAGTGTAATCGATCGACTGGCACGTAAGTATTCGGAAAAGTCTACACAACGCACAGTACGCCTAAAAGAATGTTTTCCAACTTGGAGGCATACCACTTTGAACGGGAGAGGAGTGAACACAGTGCTGGGGGTACAAGCAGTCATCACAGAGTAAAATAAATAACTTTTTTTTTATACCACTACCAATGAAAACAAAAACAGGTTTACAACTTTATAATTTTAGTTTTACCTATTAAAACGTATAAAATAAATCATTTTTTCTGAAATTGAAATTCATTGAGAAAGAGGGACATGAGATTTTTAAAATTTACAAGAAAGGCATGGCATAAGAGTGGTTAAAAAATATTGAAACCTCACATTTTCAAGCATAGATAGTTTACCATATATGTTGGTTACGATTATAAACTATCGAATTTATATAGAGAGATAGATATCAATAGAGTTTGAAATGTAACTCAATGGCCCTTTTTTCCGAAAAAAAACGTAACGAAATAAATTTATGTTATATGTATGCGTGCGCACTTGTGTGTGTGTGTTTGCTGACATTGTGAACCAAATCCAGTCACGCAGCAGTTGCAAGACTAATAATTGATTGGAAAAATAAAAATATTGTGACAGGGTGTTTACCATGTCCGTCATTATACGTGGGTCAAGCGCTTTTTGTCACCTGGTTTCCGGCTTTCAGTGTTCGATCCTTCAGCTAAAGGTGCGTGACATATATACAGAGATATCGGAATATACGAGTATACGACGTGACTCAGCTCGATATGGACACGCATAGCGATAATATTATGTCCGACGAAATATATACTGGTAATAGACAAAAGTTATAATAAATTTGTAAGACTAAATTACAGTCTTATTACTAATTTTCAGACCTGTTCCCTTCCCCCAATATGGCGCCCCTTAACAAGATAAAGAAAAAAATTAACAAATCGATTGGGATAAGAAGTATTTTAATCCTGCTTGGAAACTAGTACAGAAGAACCTTCAAATGAAGATACTGTGAGTGAAGTAATTGATAGATACTTGCCTAAAAGTATACGTCCAAAAGCAATTTCACAATACCAAAAATATCACTCATCATCTTTAACTTAACCTCTTATATCCCATCTAATTTTCACCCCAAATCAGATGCATCTAAAATTCTAATAAATCGACATTCGCAGAATCCTGAACCTTCTCGCACCTCTTAATTTTCATCCTCCCTAGAATATTTTCAATCTCTTATCATGTCACTTATAAATCTCCTAACAACCCTTATTAGTAAAATTATCTCTAAAAATGAAATTTAATATAAGCATAAATACTCCATTAATCATACTCAACTGGAACGCCAATGGACTTCGATAGCTCAAGATTAATTTCAAATCATATTGATTGATAAAAATATCGAAATAGCAAATTGTGTTCAAAACAAATTTTAATTCTAATTTCAGCTTCCCAGTAGATTATTAATAGAAATTACACAAATAATTAAATATAACCGCACAATTTGCAAAAATTTCATTATTCGAATTTCTACTCTAGTTTTAGCTTACATCTTAACCTATTAATATGCAACTTGCTTCGGTAATTTTGAATAATTTGTTGTAAAAACAATATCTATTGTACTCATTATATTCATAATCCATATCATAAATGATTATTTTAATATACAATATACGATGTACTTAATTTATTATTCTTCCATATCCATATATTTTTTAAAACTTATCATTAACTCTGAAATAACCTAAATAAATGTTGAATTTTATAAAGACAGATCAGAATTATTTTTAACTTCGGTTTATCATAATTTATCGTATCAAATATTTATAAAATATTGTAAGTTATTCATTATTCAATCATCATTCAACTATCATTTATTATTTAAAAAGTTCTAAAATTATGTATCTAATGATTATAAAATCATTAAATATCAAATTCAATATCAAGAAAAATGTCCACTCCGTCACTATAATAGATAGTAGATATAAATCGTGTCTTCTTCTTTTTCTTCGGTAAATCAGCCACTAGGACCATTACGACATACAACCTTGCTTCCAGTTTTGCCTAACCGATGTTTTTGTTCTCCAATCTATGCTAATAGCTATATCTTTTCCTAATGCTTTCACATTTTCACATCCTCCCATCTCAAACTAAAACCTCAATCCAAGACTTGAATGTCTAAAAAGCGATAAAAGTCCTTTCATACAAAATGTCTACACATACTGATAATAAATTGCTATTTTCGAAATTATTACAAGGTAACTTAAAAAATATCAAATAAACTCAATCGATATGCAAATATTTAATACAGTTTAAGCAAGATCAATAAAAATATAATATAATAATTAACGTCAGCTATTTCGACAGTACACATCGTTATCATTACGATATACAGTATAGAGTAGTATAAACAATCCATCTAACAATATGTATAAATTAGTCGTGATAAATGTTTAGTTACCCATCATACAATATTTGCTAATTCTTACTATCCCTTTAGGTCGGGTGAAAGTAATGGGTCTACCTTTACTGACTCTGTTACCGATTTATTCACAAAAAAAAAAAGTCTTACTGTCTTTGTACAGTATGCTATAATACATAATATGGCTGTCATCATTAAAAAATATTAAAATTAAAAAAATATTTTATCTCTTACCCTGTCTAAATGTCATGATACCAGACATTTAAGTCTGTAAATTAAATAAATATTTTATTTTCAAGATAATTATTTAATGTAGAAATCCTACAGTAGGTACGTCTAACACTATTAAATTCAAGTATAAATATGATATGGTACGTCAGAGTCGTACAACATTAAAATATTCATTTTGTTTACTATTCAAATAATTTTAATCCATATTTTTTATTATCAACATAGTATTGCATGTTAATAATAATCAGTTTTTCGTTTATTTTTGATAGTATAAAAGTTTTCATTCGTTACGGATTTTCAATGAGAACCCGGAAACATAAAATTACGAGTAGGATTAAATTAATGTGAAAAAAATAACATTTGCATGACTAATTAACTACTCATTCTATTCAATATCACAAGAAATGTATCGAATGTTCTGCAAAACGACTGTCTTTGAACTACTTTGCTGACTCAAATCTCACGTATATACCTTCTCGATTCCGGACGTCCGGTCAAAAAGAGTTTGATCAGCAAATTCTTTTAGACTAATCGTTCTGAAATCTTTGTACTGTCATTTTTATGAACATTGGCGTTTAGTTTACATAACGCTACATCACACGACAGCAATAATATTATATTCAACGATTTTTTTAAAACGCATTCGATAAAAAGCGTTAACACCAGAACAAAGCATATCTTTTCATTATAACCAAGTCAGTATAAATGCATAAAAATATATTTATTTAATTTTTTTTTTTAATGAAATCAAAACACTTTTTCGTATGAAATTATTTATTTTCTCTGTACCCCGGGATAGAACACTTATTTATATAAAATATTATGTAAGGAATAGTGTGAAGTTTCTCTTATTTAAATTTACACTAAATGTCTCGACCCCATATTTTTTCACATACGCACGTGTTTGTATAACGCACGCAGCTACAATTACCCGGGAAATTAAACACTATTATTTTATCCACTACGCAGATCACGAGAGCTTAGAACAAACTAACAATATTAAATAGTGCACTGGAAAGTACTTTAAAATTATTGCCGTATCACATGGTTTGCGTGTGCAATTGAAAAAGTTAACGTATTTATATAGGTTAGAAAATAATTGAATTGTATTAAAAAAAAATAGATTGCAACATTCATCAACAAAACAAGTTTAAATAAAAGCTCTGAGTTGCAATTCTAAAAAATAATGCCTATGACGTGCTAATAATATCTTCGTTATCACGTTTTTGTTTTCAGAAAAAGTATATTTTGATAAACCGCCAAATCTCGACCACGTTCACTCTTGAGATTTCATCAAATCATTTGTTTTTAGTCGTAGAAAATAGGTAAAATTGATTTAGTGTTCCTAATATTTACTGTATAATAATTATTTTCTCATGCGCTAGGAAAAAAAAAAATAAAAATATTGGTGACTTGCAAATCGCCTACTGCAAAATGGAAAATCTGATTTTCAATCTACGAAGTTTTTACCCACACTAAATGAACATTTTCACTGATTTTTCAGATTTGAGTGCAGTTACGCTGTTACCAGGTTCCTCGTAAAATTAGATTAATTCTCGACCACGTTTTATTGGAGGTGTAGTATCCGTTTATACAGATACTATAAAGAATTACCAACAATTTTTTTTTTTCGAAACGGGCAGTATACCACCTACTTGAAAATATCATGAGTTGGTACTTCAAGTGAAATGATCAAAAACTTAAAGGTTAGTCGATTAACTGCAATGATAAATACAAGCGTTTAAAACAAATTCGCGTTATTTTTATAAATAGGTACTTAAACATTATACATAGGTAAATATATACAATACATAAATATACATTGTTTGTCTTAATTAAATAAATAAAAAAATATTAATACTTAGAACTAAATATTTTTAAATTAAATTGAAAATAAAATATATATATATATATGTATATAATACCGTTAGTCTATACATTGCCAAATAAATACATGAATAAATAATACAATTTCTTATACAAATGTTTCACGTCCATCAAGGGGAACAGTAGACGCTGTAGGTGAGATGTATTCCATAATCACTTTACGGTCTTAAAAAAGCGATCTACTTGGTCCGTATAATACATGGCCGGGCATAATACTGCTGCGTTCGTCAACAAATATATTGCGGAAAAATTATCGTTATTATTTTCATTCGTTAAGGCTTGCCGTATCGAACCTTGAGCAAAATTTTAACTTGGAAGTTTTTTTTATCAAATAACGAATATAATAATTTTTATAAACTACATATATATCTAACATGTACTCATGTAAATAATTTGTCTACAGCCAGTGCTGAGCGCATGCCATAATACGATAATATCGTGAAACGGTTTTTCTTTATTATTATTATTTTCCATTAAATGTACACGGTTTTAACATTACGAAAACGTGGTGGTTGAAACATTTAGCTAAACGCACCGATTTTGCTATAAATCGTTTCACTGTCGACACGTTTCATTTTAATCGGAGTTTAGGTGTGCGCATGCATGTGCAATGATGACGTGCCGACAACAGAAAACAACGAGACGGTATTGTTGCTATCATTATTATTGTTATTATTGAAATCGGCGTGCGAGTTCTCAGTCGGAACCGATGGATATAACCTGATTGTTGGCGTTAACCGAGTAATAAAAGAAAAAGAACGCCAAGAACATGACGAACAACGAGGGAAACGTGAAACGCGCTATCATGTCGATTGTTTTGGCTAGATGGACCGGATTGTTTGACAGTTTCTCGATGTTTTCGTTCTGAAAATCAAACAAATAAACACAAAAAATTTAAAAAACAATAATTAAACAATTAGTATTCATGATACTGCAGCGCTATAATTCTCGTCGCAGATGGGCGTGATTGATTTCACGTCCGGCAACTAGGGAAGTTAATACATTTTGATGTACTGAAACCAAATGCGTAAACTTATTTCTCACAAACATTAAACAACAACTTTTGGTTAGTGTATTCAGTCGTACGTGTGTTCAGTCTACCTAGTATAGTATCTGCAGCTTAGCATGTAGTTTTAATGGCTTGTTTCATTATATTTCATATCTGTTTCCTGGTCGAACGAATCTTTTGAACGCTTTCACGGCCCGAGTTGTTAATTATTATTGTATAATATTATTACTACGTACCAGTGAAATTTAGATGGTTGCGTTTACGTTTTAAATAAAGATTGATGGACCTCCGGTAAGGTAATTTTTTATCATTTTCTCATCTTTTCATTATTTATTTCATTATGCAATTTAAACAAATTACTAAAACATTTGTTTGGTTAATGAATTGAGAAAATGTTTAACCTCAATTATTTTATCGTTAAAAACTATAAAAACGCCTAAATCAAATGTATGTATATTTTACATTGCTCGAGCGTATTAGCTGTTGTGAAAATAGAATTTAGTTACTAGTAGATGAAAATGTTGTCAAATAGTGAACTACTTCTAATACGTAGTTGTTTTCAATATGAATAGTTATGAATTATGGCTTACCGCTTTTGGAATTACGTCTATGAGTAGAGAATGCGAACAAACGTTTTGAGTACACTCCGTACATTTAAACTCTTTGGCGATCTTCTAAAAAAAAAAAAAAAATCATTGTTAATCAATGGTTATTTATTTTTGTTTTACATTTGTAAAATCGGTTGAAAACGCAGTTTGTGTATTGTATTTTGTTTATAAACACATTCAATTCGCCCGTGTAATGTAACGTTTTGTTCAAGAGTCACGATTTTTTTTTCCTTCTCGTCGAAATTAACTCGTTATGCCTGTCTAAACATTGATTCATTTTCTCAATCGTTATTGTTGTTCCCAATACCATCATTTTATTTCTATTTATTCGACGGAAAACGTAATACTTTTGTAATCGTAACTATTACACAGCACAGCTACATTATTTTATGTACGTCTGTTGTACCGTACGGCAATGGTAATAAAAACCTAAGTGCAGGTACCTGTTTACACCACAACAAGAGGATATATTACTAGTATTATTTTCCAAACCACCTCACCTCACTCCACCACAACGACCGTCACTACTACTACTACTATTAGCGCTACGTCTTAATATAACAATATCACGCGCGCGCGTTCGTATCTATACACTATAATATAATATACGCATGCAAAACGTCAACTCTGCTGTTTTCATAGATCAAACATTACGTCGTACGATAGGTACAGTGATATAGGTCACACAATAAATGGTGTAATAGACGGGTAAATACGTCGATACGAGGTGGACAACATGTGCAGAGTACCAATTCTTGTTGTGCGCTAACCAACGATTATACCACGTGCGCGTATTCACGTTCACGTCTACCGCGTGCCCAATGATTTCGGATGACATAGGTTGACCGTGCTCGTGCCCACAGAAATCTCGGCCGACCGATTTCGTGAACAGCAAAAAAAAAAACATTATAAAAACGCTACGCGATAACATTACGTCGTCATAATTGTTCGCGCGTGTTATTTTTGAGTTTTCGATTTTGTACACCTCTTGTCCTGTCGAACGTGCCACGGGTCTACACGGGAGTTACCCTTTTTCGCCAAAATGAAAAGGTACGATTCCTGTTTCCGCCAAAAAAAGTGTGGAAACTATTAATTTTAATTTTTAGGCACTATTGAATAAATGTTGTGGTATGTGTAAAAGATAATGCCATTTGTAATACATATACCGATATTGTTTTCTTATGACTTTATGTCAGACATTTCTGATGACAACAAACATGGTAAGTACGCCGATTATGTCTTAGAAAACAATATTGATAAAAATTCGAAATTTCCCCCAAGTATGTGAGCTTCACGTACAGCGACATTACACAGAAAACCAAAAATTGTATATCTTTTCATTTTCATTTCAATTGGTTCCACACAACGCGTCCATTTCGTCTAATATAACGGCAGCGGGATGCCGGTAACGTCATAAATATTAAACGTTTTAAATACGAAACGACTGACCGGGTTCATCAGTCAATTAATCGCGACGAGGTTATGTGATCGAGTCCAACGTTCCTCTTATCGTCGTGAACGCGAACGAATGAACAAGGTCCGACGTGATTATGAGTGCGAACGTACAACTGAAAAGGACCTAAAAGACCGGATCTCCTGAAGCTCATCCGAGGGAAGACCCAAATATATATACATTCAAAGGGTCCATTGTTGAAATTTAGAATGCGATTGTCAAATATTAACCCTATGGACGAGGTCAAATCAAATATTTGTTCTAAATAACTGTGCGATTTATTTTGACTTATAATTTTAATCCGTTCGACTTGTGTTTTTCGTACGAGTGTTGAAGAGTATCCGGTTCCAGTGCAATTAAACTCTGCATTTGTCCTTTTTTTTCAACCTTGCATCGACATCTGAAGGTCTATGGTAAAACAAGTAAGTGCTGCTTTATTTAGCTTGGCAGACTGTACAATTGCGCTGATCGGCTCTCGAACCTTCACAACCCTAAGAGCCCTCCCTTAAACAAGGTGGAAGGTAACAACCCTTTAATACATTAATACCTTACCGCTATTTACATATATATCACCATCTTCCCCTACTTTATTTTATTTTTTGTATTTTTGGGTTATTTCATATAATACGTTAAAATGCACAGAACTTCAAGGAAACATATTATAATGATAATGTAACGTACCTAATCGTACAGACGTATTAGCCTATTGGACTTATTAGCAACCAATATTGTCTTATCATTAACAGCACAAATGCTTCGTCCACGGTGTAATATAAAAACGAATTAGTTTTTTTCTATGGTTTGCATACCGGGTCGCGGTATGTATCGTGTTATAGAAGCTTTGAAATTCGTGAAACGATATGCAATAAACTATACTATTACTTTATGTATTTAATAGGTTTATGTTTTATACATAATATTATTTTATATATTTATAAGTTTCAAGTTTAACAATATTACTGCGGTTAAACGTGCCGACACTTATTATGTGGTCCGTTTTTAAAAGAATTTAATAACAGTTTTTTTTTCTATTTTTTTTTTTGCGAAACGAAAAATCGATATGCTCCGAAAATGAATAGTAAACTATTCGAAATAACGTTTGAGTTCGGATACCTATACTATATGTAGAAGGTACATTATACTGACTTCATCCTAAAAACCTATGCTACATAATGATCGCAAATGGCGAATATAACCTATATAATATAAACTAAACTTTTTTATTCACGTCACATCTGAATTCCCATCATCTGATGTCGTATGACGACCCCTCGAGAATTATATATTTTTTTCTCCTTTAATCCGATGCGGTTCGAATCAGACGTATTATAGATAATATAACGAAATTTATAATGGTAATTCGGTTTAAATTATACGTCAAAGTGTTTTTTTCCCTCTCTACCGGTGATTTTCAATTTACTCTGTAATTTTTCCGTTCAAATCCGTCCTGATTCTTAAGACATTAAAATGCATTGTCACGGAACGAGTGTTCCATGAAATCCAAACTACAATGCTAATACGTCAAGTTTTGTTTTGCAATTGAGCGTATGTTCCATCCCAAATACACATTTTGAATTTCCGTGTTTTATTCGGGTCGTAAACCATTTCAATATACTACTTATTAAAAAAAATGATGCTTAAGCTTAACATTTATCACCTCTAAGACTGTACTATTCCTCTCGTCGTCTATAAGTACGTCGCAGTCCTAAGTATTTATCATCTCATCTTAGCATCTAAAAACAAACAAAGAGTGAACAAAATACGTTCACGTAGGAAAACATTTGGACATGGGGAAGACAGACTGATCTTCTATGGTCTTAAAATAACATAATAAAAAGCGTTAATCCATAGGAAATCTATGTTGTTTTTTTTTTTTATACTAACCATATCTTTATGAGTATTTTATATAAGAATTCCTCGTGCTTCTATCTTCGAGCGCCTCTATGTGATCAAAATTCCATCGAAATCGCGTATACAACAAAAACAAAAAATAATCAATTTACCTCAAACTGTGCTGTTTTCGATTGAAAGAAATGTGCGCGAGCCAGTAATTATTGCACCTAATATTATTGTTGTCGAAACAGTCAGTTATTGTTAACACCCCCTAAGTGAAGATAAAAATAAAAGTTAATAAATAAAAACCAATGTATTGTATAGCTTCGAGCTTTTAATGTCTTAAATTGTTTAATCGATATTATTATTGTTATTATTATTAACATTAGTACATTTATTTTTATTATTTTCAGGGCGTGTCCCTTTCACGGGTAATTTCTGATGTATTTAAAACAAGCCCATGACGGAAACCCGCATAACATTCCACGAGAAGGGTTTTAATTAAAGTTCAATAAAAAATATTATCATTTCACCTTGTCGATTTCGGTGCCTAATAATTATTTATTACTATCTGCTGCGTCGTTTCGTCGTTTGATGGGGTGAGTTTTTTCATCGGTTAAGAAATAAATAAATAAATCATAACAACCATAAACATAACGTCCGTGTCTAAAAATAATTTTCTTACGATTTGTTCGGTTAGAAATTTGTTTTTCGATCGGTTTAAGTTTCACGAACAGATATCAACAGAAACGACGAGCAATTTGTCTTCTTCATAACAATATCGGACCGTCACAACGAATAGTCGTTTTCATTGGGAGTCGGTATTAAATCGTTACGGTCACGCGTTAATGTATTGCAATATCGATTCATAGCGTTTAGTCGTGTGCGGTCATATTAGTTTGCTAATTTATTGCTCGTTGGTGTGTGTATGCGTTCGTTCGCGTTGTACACTTTTTACGCCGTTACTTTAACCCTACAATGCATGAATTTTATTATTTTTTTTTTTAATTATTTTTTTTTTATCATCAAAATACCTACAAATGTACGGAAAATTTTTTAAAAAAATATAAAACATTTTATTTTTACTTAGGAATAGATGAGATTATAGTTTGTTGCCATAAGGCAACACTATCCATTTAAGGTACGCATTTACTTAAAATATCATTTTTTTTATTTTATTCTTTGTAAAATAAGTATAACAATAAACAATTAGGTGCCGACGAATCAATGCCATGACTGCGGCACGCGACGAACGCAACACAAACTATATTTGTGTCCTACGTTTTGCTCGTACCGAAGGCGCAGTCCGACGGGTGCCATACCCCGAGCGCCGATCGGACGCGATAACGAGTACGATTATTGCACCCCGTCACCATCGTGGGAGGGGGAGGCGCAAATACATGGTCGGGGGTAAAAATTAAACTATACAAATTGTGATACGCGTGCGAAATCGTTATGGTTTTGTGCACGGTGCGTCACGGGAATTTCACGTGACATCTATTCAATCGGATCCGCAGAAAACGCGTACGAACGAAGGGACTTTTTTCATCACAAATGTTTCTGTTCGCAAACAATCGCAGAATAATTTTAATCGTAAAATTAACTAGAATATTATTGCAATCAAATAGTAACCTAACAATAACGTGTTATTTTGTGCGTTCGCTGCATTGGGCTCGGAGGCAATTCATTGAAAATATTAAATCATCGTCTTTTCACCTAGCGTGGGATTTGAAAATTATTTATCTCAAAATATCTTACAATCTATAATCTATACACGAGA